TGATGCAATAGCCTTCGATGAATGGCTAGGGGCGTGCACATACTTGCTTTTCGCAAATCGTGTAAATGTTCCCTTATTCGTATACATAGCAGCCTTCTTGTTTTAACAATATACTCATCTCATTTACATGTTAAAAAATATTGACCCAGAACACAACAGGAGGTCAATGTTAACATCTTTGTTTGAGATAAATTTTCATTTCTGCATGATATAGTGGGTCTTCACTCTTTCATTCCATCATAGCAAGACTTGTATAACATGCAGAATTTCTTGGAGACCGTGCGCGTTTCATGGGTATAATAGATTTTAACGAGGTACATTTCATTAAATGTTGCTCTTTAGAGAGTGTGTGACCAATTTCTCAACAAGACCTGAGAGCGCGGCATAACTAGTCTTGGTATCCCAGCGAACTGGACTACGCTTGATACAAATGGAGAATTGAGCAAACAATCCCTACCGACTTCGTCAACCTTTTTAAAATGATTGTTTTAGTAGTTGTTTTTCGGCACAACTGTAAAGCAGCCTTTCTATAAAACCCGAGGAGTCTTGAAATGTGGTACAGAGATCCGTCCAGACATAGAAATACGAGTAATAACAGTTGTAGCAAGTTTGCCGCATTTTCAAGAGTTTCGCCCAAGCCATCGCCTGCCTCAGGCTGGGCCTAGTCGATAGAGTGTCATAGAGCAGTACAGTGCGTCTAGAGCAGGCAAGAGGCAAGTTCGGTAAGAATTACCAAAAATACAGCTTTCAGCACTCTAAAAGTTTTATTGGGTTGTCGGATGAATTTGTGCCGCGTTAGTACTCAAAAAAATCTGAGAAATCGGATTTTTGTTAGTCCTCTAAATGCTTATTAGAAGAAGAAGTCTCCCTATACAAAGTAGTGCACATAGCTTATCCCTTTTGGTTTTCCTAGATTAGAGCCGATCTTGCACTTCAAGAGGGACAATGTTCAATCAACAACTTAACTTTATTGCGGGCAAATCAGAACTTGCTACGTTATCTAATTAGGTATACTGATTACTTAGGTCATATGATAGGTATATGGTTTATGGTCAAAATGGCAGATTTATATGGAAAGTGCCTTAATGGAGTGAAATGAAATGCTAATTGCGAAAAATACACCTGCAACACACAATACGCCT